CCCAGCGCTGTTTGCTTGCTTTTATTCGTTTAATAAATTGTTAATTTTGACTGAAACCCTATTTGGGACTCGGTCATTTATCACACCCATGGCCCCATGGCCCCGTGTCCCCATGGCCCTGTGTCCCCGTGTCCCCGTGTCCCCATGGCCCCATGTCCCCGTGTCCGCATGGCCCCATGGCCCCATGGCCCTGTGTCCCCATGGACCATGTCCCATGGCCCTGTGGCCCCATGGCCCATGTCCCCAGAGCCCTGTGGCCCCAGAGCCCTGTGGCCCCAAAGCCCTGTGGCCCCATGGCCCTGTGGCCCCATGGCACCGTGGCCCTGTGTCCCCATGGCCCGTGTTCCCATAGCCCTGTGTCCCATGTCCCCATAGCCGTGTGTTCCCGTGGCCCTGTGTCCCTGCGGCCCCATGGCCTGTGTCCCATAGCCCTGTGTCCCCACGGCCCTGTGCCCCATGTCCCCATAGCCCTGTGTCCCCATAGCCCTGTGTCCCCATAGCCCTGTGTTCCATGTCCCCATAGTGGTGAGTCCCCATAGCCCTGTGTCCCCGTGGCCCAGTGTCCCCATGGCCTGTGTCCTGATAGTCCTGCATCCCCATAGCCCTGCATACCCATGGCACTTTGTCCCCATGTCCCCACAGCCCCGTGTCCCCATAGCCCTGTGTCCCCATGTCCCTGTGTCCCCATGACCCTGTGTCCCATGTCCCCACAACCCTTTGTCCCCATAGCTGTGTGTTCCCATGACTCTGTGTCCCATGTCCCTATTGCCCTGTGTCCCCAGAGCCCTCTGTCCCCATCGCCCTGTGTCCCCGTGACCCTGTGTCCTGCACCCCCATGGTGCTGTGTCCATTGTCCCTGTGTCCCTGCACCCCCATGTCCTGTGTCCTCCTGGCCCCTCTGCCTCGTAGCCAGCATCCCCGGGCCTGTGTCCCCCTGGCCCTGTGCCCTGTGTCCCATGGCCTGTGTCCTGTGTCCCCTCCCCGGGTGGCCCTGCCAGCCACAGCACACACATCCCAGCCCTGAACCCACGCACCACCAGGGTGTCCCCATTGCCGCTGGGACACATCATGGGGACAAGGGTGACACCGTGAGCTCAGGGAGCCAGGACCTCCGAGCCACCGCCCTGGGGACATCACCCACCCCAGGGACATCGGCGTTGTGGGCAGAGGGGGGCGGGGGGGGGACCAGACCACGGCGCCGGGGTATAAATATTGGCTAAATAGATTTATTTTCATACAAAGAATACACAGATTCCCCCCGCCGGGATGCCCCGATCCCAGGGGACACCCCCAGATGTCCCCAGCCACTGCCCCACTGGGCACCACCTCCATTGGCTTTACCGGCAGGATCTCTTCCTGTCCCCAGGGTTTGGTGCCAACGTTGGTGTCACCTCAAGGACATCCCTGTCCCCTCTGGGGCCACCTTGGTGCCCACATCTGCCCGGTGTGGTGTCCACTCGGGGCACCCTGTCACCGGCCACCCTACCCTGTGGGGCACCTCCAGATCTGGTCCCTTGTTCCCTAGCGGGGGGGGCAAAATGCCCCCCAGCACCCCACCCAACCCCCCAAATTCTCCCCTGCGTCCCCATCCTGGTGCCTCACTGCCAGCTGATCTTGTTCCCTGTCCCCAGGATGGAGGCGGCCGGACCTGCTCCATCCTGGGCTGGCTGGGCATCCGTGCCTCAGTTTCCCCATCAGTTGTGGGGCTCCTCACCCCTCCCAGCCATGGGGTGCTGGGAAATGGAGGACATGGGGTGAAGAGAAGAACCGTGGTGGCCACCCTTTGGGGACAGGGATGTGGCCACCAGCTCCAGGGGACATGGGACGAAGCTGGAGGTGCCTCAGATTTACACCAGAGCATCCTACCTCCTGCCTCGCCCCGATGGAGAAATGTCACAAGCAGAGCTACCCGAAGTCCCCTTTTGTCCCCAGATTTGTCACACCACTATTGGCCAGCTCTGGGCATGGTGGGGAGGGTCCAGAACTGGCCACCGCACCTCCCTTTGCAGCAGGAGAGGAGGTGGCAGGGGATGATGTTCCACAGCAGGCTGGTGGGCTCGTGTCCATCCAGCTCAGCTGCGTTTGGTGACCATTTGCCGGTCCCTCTTCTTCTTCTCCATCAACCTGGTGGGGAGCAAGGTGGTGGCCTTAGGGACCCTCCTGAAAGGGACCTCCTGAAGGTGTTGGGGAGGGGACACTTACTTGCGGTTGCGGACTTCGGTGAGTTCCATGAGTCGCTCCTGGGCTGCCCGTAACTCGTCGAGGCGCTGCTGGTAGCGGGAATCGCAGCCATTGGTGCGCTCATAGCTGGAGACCTGGCTGGAGAGCTCGCTGGCCCGGTCCCGTAGCTGCTGGATGGACGAGTAGAGGTTCTCCTCATCTTCTTCCTGCTCCGGCACAAGGGTATGAGGCTGGTGGGGTGGACAGGACACCCCAGGGTGTTCTTTCCCCCACCCTGCTCCAGCTGGGGAAACTGAGGCATGGGGTTCCCCTAGCCGCCCAGGCCACCTGCCTTGGCATTGATGATCTCGATGTGGATGAGGAGGGCGGCGAGCTCCAGGTCCTCAGTGTAGCTGTTCTTCAACGGCACTGACCGGTAGCCTGGGCACAACACCATGACACAAGCTCAGCCCCATGGCAAAGTCTGAGCCCCTTGCCATAGCCAGATCCCTAAGAAGATGATGATGATGATTGCAAGGGGGTTGGACTAGGTGACCTTTAAAGGTCCGTGCCAATCCAAACCATTCTATGATTCTATTTTGTGATTAGATGATGATGATGATGATGATGATGATGATGGTGGTGGTGGTGGTGGTGGTGTGGATGGAAGGCCCATACCTGTTTTGAGGCCCTTGACGGGGAAGGTGGCTTGTGCCAAGAAGTTGGGGTCGCTGAACATGTCCTCCTCATACACCACAAAGCGGAGGAAGGCAAACTCAGGGTTGTTGATGTCAAAGACAAACTGCTTGAAGAGCCAGACAGGGTTGAAGCCGTTGTCAGCTGGGGGTGGTGAGGAGAGAGCGGGGAGGGTCAGAGTAGGGTTAGGTGCATGGATATCACCAGCATGGCACCAGCATATTAGTGGGAGATGCCTCTCCTCTTCACTCCTCCACAAAACCCAGCCCCATCACCCACATGTCCAAGAGGACCCAAAGGGCACAGTTAGGGTTGTCTCAGCGTCCTTGCCTCTCCCCAGGGCGCAGGGGCTGGGTGGAAACATCAACGCATGGACCCTTACCTACGACGTCCGTCTTGTTCTTGCTGTTGTCGTACTCGGAGCCGCACACCTCCACCTCCACGAAGGGGCACACGATGCTCCTCCCATTCTTGGGTAGGTGCCGGGCACCAAGGATCTGCAGGAGGAAGAGGAGGGTGAGGTCTGGCTAAGTCAGATGAGGAAGGACTTCTCCGGGGCAACCCCATGGCTTGGCTGTTTTAGAATCATAGAATCATGAAAGGGTTTGGGTTGGAAGGGACCTTTAAAAGTCATTTAGTCCAACCCCCCTGGAAGGGGGGGACAGCTTCAACCAGATCAGGTTGCTCAGAGCCCCGTCCAACCTGGCCTTGAATGTTTCCAGGGATGGGGCATCTACCACCTCTCTGGGCAACCTGAGCCAGCATTTCACCACCCTCATCATTAAAAATTTCATCTGTTTTGGGCTTGCCAAAAGCTTCATGGCCATAATTAGCCACACCACACCTTATTTATGACCTTGGACCAGTTTTAGTTTGATTTTAGCCGTATCCGCCAAGTTATTTAAAAACCTTTGCTGGATTCATGCCATGCTCAAGAGTCTTCAAACCAACCCATCCCAGCTCTAGCACGAATTTACCCAAGGGTTGGGTAAGGTGCTTCTGGGCTTGTTTTAGCTACTTTACCCTCCACCTCGCTCTTGCTCAGGTTGGGCTCAGCTCTGCAATTTTGGGGTTCTCCCTTGGGAAAAATGATGCTGCAAGTGGAGAAAGACCAACAAACTGAAGAGATCATGGGGTAATGATCTCCATGGACAAATATGGGGCTGAAACATGTCAAAAAACACCCCCGGATGACCCAAAACAGAGAAAGAAGCAAGCCCCCATCTTGATGGTGACCACCTCAGGATGGACTTGCTGTCCTCGCCCACTTGCCTGTAGTTGCACTGTGATGGGCTCCACGATCTTCAGGCTGTTCTTGTCAAAGGGGTCAAACGTCTCGTCCCTCATGATGTCAGGCTGCAGGACATAGCCGCTGCGGCCGCCGAGCATGAAGAGCGCTTGGTTCAGCTGCATTGGCTTGTCTGTGGCCATGGGGACAGAGCAACTTTGAGCTGCAGGGTTCAGGGACTCCCTGAGGTCCCTGGGCAGCACGCCCTGCCCTGGTAAACCCCCTGCTAAGAGCCCCCAACCCTGGTTGGAGAAAGGATGCAGCTGGGTTTGGCATGAAGCACCCAAGAATTGCATGAAGTTGTCCCCATCAAGATGAGGACAAAGGTTAGAGACATCATCCAAACCACCTCCAGCGATACGACCCAGAGCAGAGCCACCAGGGATGGGAATTTTGGGGTGACCTCTGGGGATGAACTTAGCAGCCAGACCAAGAGCAGGATTTACCAGGTGTCTGAAAGTTGAGGGCCACGAGCTGGCTACCACAGATCCACATGGGCAACGGGTCATAGTTGGAGGAGTCCAGGCGCTGCCCTTTGGGGTAGATGCGGCTGAGCTGGCGCCGGTTGTACTGCAGGAACTTCTTGCCCTTGCTGCGGTTGGCATACTTCTCTGCTTTGGTCTCCGGGAAGGAGGACATGTCCCGGTAGCACGCCTTGTCCGTGCCAATCTCTGAAAACACCGAGGTGGCCATCAGTGGAGGACATGGGGCTCTCTGGTGGCCTGGGGGTTGACCCACCGAGACCGCTTGGTTCCTCCCACCCATCTCTTCCCGTGCTTATCCCATCACCCCCCTTCTCCAGCTCTTACTGTCCTCATCAAACGGCACCGGGCGGCAATACACGACTAGCTCAGAGAGCTCCAGCGCAATCTTCTTCCTCCGCTCCATGATCTTCCCCTCTTGCATCTGCACAAGGGAAAACAGGAGCTGAAAGTCTTCCCCCAGCCTCCTCCTTTGGAGATGTTGGGGAGCATCCGCTGGGGGACAGGACCGTCCACCCCCATCCTCTGCACCCTGGTGACCCTCACCCTGGCGTCGGCGTTCTGCGTGGCCTCTCGGATCTTGGCCACCCACTCGCTGAGTTCCTCCTGGGTGTCCGCGGCCACGTCCAGTGACTGGGCTGCGTGGGACATCTGCTGGGAATGGATGGTGAAGACAAATGGTTTGGAGCTCCTCCCGTCTTTGGAGATAACTATAAGGACATCAGAGGGGGGCTTTACTCGAAGACATTCCCAATGGATGGCTCTGTGGAGCAAACGAAACCTCAGCGGTCCCGCTCCCAGGCCCCCACCAACCCCTTCTGGCACCCCACCAGCCATTGGGGTCCTCCTCCTGCGAGGGTCTCATTTCATTAATGAACGGTTTCAGCTTCCCACACTGAAATGCGTTTTCCTTTCAGTCGGGTGTAAATATCCCCCAAACCATCTGGACCTCTAAATTCCTCCAAATCCCCCCCAAATCAGCCAAATTCCTCCAAACGCAACCCCACGTTGCTCCCTGGCACATTGTGCCAAGCACGAGCCTGGCTGGCGATTGCGTGATGAGTTTGGGGGAGCCTCAGCTCACAGCACTGAGCTTTGGCAGGGGGCACGCGCCATCCCGGTGGGCTCCCGCAGCCACGGCGGGGGCGCCGGTGCCCGCTCCATTTGGCAACCTCCCTCCAGCCCTGCAAATCTGCCACGTTTGAGCAAAAGCAGAGAAAAAAAACCACCCCTCTCGGCGTGCTCTGCTCTGTGGTCGGGGCCAGGAGCATCCCCCAGCGCCTGGATAAGGGTCCAGACTGGTGGAAGCATCTCGGGCAGCCTCGGACCCGGGTGCACAGGGACATGGGCACTCACGGCCTCATCCTGCTCCTGTGCCTGCGTGCTGACGATCTCCTCCACGTAGTTGGCTGGGAACCACAGTTGCTTCTTGCCCCCGTAGTCCCCCCGCCACCTGTAAGGGGTGAGAGGATCAAGGCAAATGGACCGATTTGGGGTGGGGTGGGGATGTTCATGCTGCATGCAATGTTGGGGAGCAGTTGGAGAAAGGGTGGGGGGACAGAAAATGAGGCAGTTAAAACCCACCGTGGGACAACTTGTGGGAAAACCCGGGGTGTCCCCTCCGCCCCCCCACCCATGGCGATGCCCACCCTGGGGGGCCACCCAACCGCCCTCACCAGCCGCCGTCCTGCTTGTCGACATTGTGGATGATGGCCTGCTTGCAGAATGACAGCTCATCCTCCCGCTGCGCTTTGTAGTCGTAGAGAGCCTTCACCGTGCACTGGGCCACCGGGGTTGGGAGGGACATGTGTCACCACCCAGCGCCAGGGATGCTGGCGGGCAGGGCCGCCTGCTCAGCCCGGCTCCTCGGAGCCCCAAAAAACTGGGGGCTCCTGAGGGTCCACCTCCCCAAATGATATCCCCAAATTGCCTACACCAGCAGTGAGACATGTTAGAGGGGATGGGAGGGCTGGAGGTGCCCATGGTCCTGTGGGACCACCACGTTCAACGCAAATTGCATTCCTCTTCTGGGTGCCCCAATGGTTTCTCCTGGTGTACTGAAGGGGTTAATCTCCTGATATTCCCACACTCCCCGGAAAAAAACACTTTGGGTTAAGCTTTCCTGAGCTTGGTCTTAGACTGAAAGCTGCTCTGCTGCAAAGGGACTTGTAAGGAAAAGCAGTGCTGGACCATGGGTTTATAGAATCACAGGGATGGGACCTTGGTGCTCCAGTCCAGCCTCCTCCAGGGGCAGCTCCAAGACCAGCCTGGTCCCAAAAACCTCTGAGAATGGAGATTAGGTCAGGTCTGAAACCAGCTCAATCCCAAAAACCTCCAAGGATGGAGATGGGGTAAGTTCTGAGTCCAGCCCAGTCCCAAAAACCTCTGAGGATGGAGACTGGGCCAGCTCCAAGACCAGCTGGTCCCAAAAACCTTTGAGGATGGAGACTGCACCACCTGGGAACTGACCCTAGACCTGCTCTTTCGGGGTTCCCCAGTGCAAAGGGATCCATGGGGGCTTCCTTGCTGTTGGAGCAAACTTGTGCCAGGTCCTTACTCCAGGCTGGACTCTCTCCAGACCTGTTTCCCCCACCAGACTATGACAATGCTGTCACAGGAACTCGTACTGTCCCCAAGTGATGGTGATCAGGGAAGGGTCCAGCTCCAGCATTGCTTAAGGGTCAGAAAAACTCAGCAAAACATCACCACTTCTCAGGTCAGTGGTGGGAGAGGTGGTGGGTCTGGGGGGGGGGCACCCAGGAGCCCCAACACTAGAATCATCATGTCCCACTGCCCTCCACCTCCCAAGGACACCAAGCTTGGCCCCTTACCCTGGCCATCGGCATCTTGTTGGCCTCTACGTAGAAGTGGGGGGTCCGCACCTCGTACAGGGCTCCATAGTCCAGCTCCTGCAAGGAGGGACACTTGAGTGGGTCACCTGGATGTGGGAAGGGGCTACAAGGGGATGTGGTGGGAGCTGGGCCACCATGTGTGACGAAAAGGAGCTTGAGAAGAACCTAATATCCCTTTGCAACTCGTTGGAAGGGGATTATGGTGGAGCTATAACAGTGGGCAATGGCTGCAGAATGGCCAGTTCTGGTTGGGCTTCAACCAAGAGGCTGGAGTAGACCTTCACACCATGGTGGAGCTGGGGACTCGGTTGCCTGTGGCACACAGCCCTCATCCCCACCACCCCCATCACTGGGAGCACTCACGGTGGTGCCCATCTTCTCCAGGGTCTCCTCGTTGATGGGGTAGCGCAGCTTCATCTTGCGGTAGAGCGGGTGCTTCTCATAGTAGCTGACAAGGTCCACGAGGCTCTCAAACTCGGCTGAGCTGCCCAGCATGAAGAGCCGACCTTCCTGCTGGATGCGGCAGTGCTTGATCTTCCCCTCCGCCCTGGGGCCAAGAGAGCCAGGGGAGATACGTGAGGGGTGGTCGGACCCTGGCTTCATGATGGGGACGGAGAGCAGGCAATGTCCTGCCCCAGCAGGGATGCCACTGGGGTGGCCACCTTGAGGACGTGGCTTTGCCATCACCACAGCTAGGGGGTCCCCCCATGACAGCATCATGCGTCCCACCACGTCACCCTGCTGACCCAGAGCAAACCCCTGCCACCCAGCATGGAGTCACAACAGACACAAGCCGGGCAGTTCTCAACTTGATTGGCAATGTGGCCATCGTGGCCAAACCCGACTGACCTTGGGGCGCCGGGGTGGCCACACTCACCGGAAGGAGATGGCGTAGGAGCTGGGTTCACTACGCTTGCGCACCAGGAAGGCTCCGTCCCGCGGGACCCGCATCAGCATGTGCTCGGCCTGCAGGCGCGTCAAGCTGGCGTGGTACCACCTGGCCAGGCAGAGAATGGAGGTGGTGGGCTCGTACTGGCATCCCCGCATTCCGAGGGGCACCCAAGACCTGACAGTGGGGATGGGGGAGGCTGGTGGGCCCAAGGGACCAAAGGAATGGGGACAGTCCTCACTCTTTGCTTTCATGGGCATTGGGTTGGGGGATTGGGTCGGTGAGGCGCATCTCGAACTCGTTGCAGCGGAGCGGCACCTCCCGATAGTGG